TTTTGACTAACATAGCTCCAACGTTTGGTCTTGTCACATCACTAATGAAGACGGTGCGTTTTAATCGACTCTTTTGTTTGGACCACGTCCAAGAGAAGCTGTGTGAGTGTGACCCATAGGCCTTGCCTTCTTGGGCCATGGCACTTTTAAGTTTTACACTATATTTAGAGAAAAATTAGTAAAGGATAGTGGAGGAAAGAGAAGGGAAGTAAAGAAAGTAGAGAATTAGTATTAAATTTATTTGTATAGATTAAGAAAAAGAAAGGAAAGGAAGGGAGAGATTTTTTTTATTTAATTAAATAAATTAAAAATATATTTTTAAAATTTTAATTTTATAAATATATATTAAGATTAAAGTTAAAATATAAATTTTAAATGAAAATAAAATAATTTATATAAATATCAATTAAAATTATATATATAAATTTATTATTAATATTTTATTTATCCACTCTTTCAACTCCTTTCCATACATAATCTTACAATTGCAAGGCAACTACCGTGGTTATAACGGTGGAAAAATACTGGCCATGGATCATCCATGATACCGGTTATAACTTATTTTTAATCATTTATCTTAATAAATTTATCGATTTTAATTTTTTACTTTATATTATAACACTTTTAATTTTTTATCTTAATAAATTTATAAGTTTTAATCCATTACTTTATATTATAATATTTTTAACCCCTCATCTATACAAATCGAAGAAAACAACATTTATTTAGAGTTAGATTATAACGTTTTATTAGTTTTGTTAACTGACTATTAATTTTATTAGTTAACTGTTAACATTCTGTTAGCATTCTATTAATGAAATTAATAAATAAAATTAAATTTAAATTTTATGTTTTTTATAATGAAATGCTAATAGATACTAACAGTCAATTAATAAAATTAATATTCAATTAGTAGAATTAAAAAAATGTTACACCTTGATGTTAAGTAAAGATTATTTTTTTCAATTTATATAAATGAGGGACTAACAGTGTTATAGTAGAAAGTAAAAAGTTAAAATTTATAAATCTATTAAGATAAAAAATTAAAAATATCAAAGATAAAAAACTAAAACTTATAAACTTATTAAGGTAGCCGGTTAAAAAGTATGTTTTGACTAACATAGCTCCAACGTTTGGTCTTGTCACATCACTAATGAAGACGGTGCGTTTTAATCGACTCTTTTGTTTGGACCACGTCCAAGAG